CTCTTCATCATTTCAAAGATGGGAATATAGCTCTGAAGTCTAATTACCTCTGTATATGAAAGAGTTTCTTCTTATCAGTAGGATATATCCTGTTTTTCACCTAGAATTATTCAGTCTTGTTGACTAAAGGGTATGACAGGGTTGAGATCATTTTGGTGCTGGGTGATGCATTTTCATTTTCACATGATTACCCTCTCAACCACATGAGGACCACGGTTGCATTAAGCCCAACCACATGGGTACAATTATTTATTTATTATGGATTGTAGTCCATGCTAGCCCTACCCATTGATGTTAATAGACATGACTAACTTAGCTTCATTAATTTCAATGGGTCTGCTCTGAGTAAAAGTTGGCTGGATATAACCCTGTTTATATAGCGTTTCTAAAGTAGCATACCCACCAAAGCAGTTTATGATTATCTTTTTCCCCCTCTACATCCAGATAAATTGAATGATTCCAAGGATTGTTGCCAGTTCTTGTGGAGATCTCCAGATATAGTATTAAAGTTGCATGTTAATCCTTCCATGAGGCAGTAGCATGCAGAGTTGAATGTGTGACGAATATGTTATTCATATTTTGAGGTGAACAAGTTGCCACATCTTTCCCTGCAAAGAATGTGAGAATTCCAGTGATATGAACAGAATCTTGGCATTAAGATCAGTACCTTTGATATGATATGGCATAATGCTATACCTTGCCTTTCCATTCATACCTATGGTACCCCATAGGTATTTTTCATTGTTCAGGACACTTTAACTTTAACTTTAAAGTTTTGTCTCTGTTATCTTTGTCTGATCCTCACCATAGATTTCTGTTCTCATGGGTGACATGAAGCTTGTTTTCTGGTTGCTTCAGATTTCCCTACTGGTCTGATGCTTAAGCAAGGGACTATGCATTGGGTTTAACACTGGGAGAAAGCACTAGGTTCTTGGGTAGTTCTGAATGGAAAGGAGGGTATGGATTAACCAAAATAAATAAAGTATATGTGAGACATAGATCCAGCCTTTTCTAATTACTGTTCATCTCTTGCCCCCGAGTTGGATGGTTCACTCTTTTTCCATGTTTACTCTTTTTGACTTGCCTGCTAAACCAGGCAATGACAGTCTTTATTCAAAATGATGCAACTTGAGTTGATAATAGAAACGCAAGGAGTTGCCTCGTACCAAGACAGACGTGTTTACCATCTAGCCCAACATAGTGTACTCCAGCTCTCCAGAGGTCATTCCCATCACCTAAAATCTTTGGGCTCTTTCTGCATTTTAAGTATGTGCTCTTCCTTTGTGCTATGGTCTGTCCTCAAATAGTCCAGTTATTCTGATATTTTTCTCTGGTGATAAGCACATCCGTTTCATATGCATGGATTGCATTAGGAGTGCCTCAATACATTTATTTGTGTGTACCACTAAAATGGCTTTGGGGGGGGGCGGGGAAGTGAAGATGTGAATGAAACATGGAAATGATTTCCAGCAAGCAGCCTATTAATTCTTTATCTGTGTTAGGCTATGAGAAGTTGCCATGAGTAGTTAATAGAGCATGAAACTCTAGAGCAAGAAGTTATTGGGTCACTGAGGTCCCAGAAGTAGATCTGGGGAAAGTGTGCTGCTGCTTTTTATTGGTGCTACAAGAGTATCACATACCTGCTTTTCTAGGCTTCGCACAACCAGGTTGGTGACACAAGCAAGTGTGGTGTGCATGTTTGATCAGAGCTGTGCTTGCTACATGCACAATTGGCAATTCAACTCATACTGATTTCACCACCGCAAAGCTACATAAAGTGGACTGAGCACATTAGCTGTGGGCTGAGTTGCAGTCAGGAGAAGCAGTCTCCTAGTTATTATTTTGTTGTTATAACAAAGAGGAAACCTGTCTAGCTATCCTGAGTGACTGTGCCCTAGAACAGTGGGTCATGGAAGCAATCAGAGGGAGGCTGGTGACCTTGGATTTAATTTTAAATGGGGTCCAGGACCTGCAACTGTTGTTGAACCGACTGGGAACAGTGTCCACAGCGCGAAAGGGATCCTGGAAGCTGCAGGCCAATTAGCTTAGCATCTGTTCCACAAAAACTGATGGAAAACATTTAATGATAGAATTAACAAGTATATAGAAGAACAGGTCTTACTGAAACAAATCCAGCATGACTTCTTCAAGGGTAAGTCCTGCCACACTGACCTTTAAGAGTTATTTGGGAGAGTTTCAGCAAGCATACAGATAGAGGTGATCCGGTCAAGACTGCGTAGTTAGACTTTCCAAAAGCTTGTGATAAAGCCCCTCACCAAAGGCTCCTTGCTAAGCTTAGCAGTCATGGGAGAAGAGGAGGGGTCCTCTTAACGGACAGTAACTGGTTAAGGAACAGGAAGAGTAGTAGTAAACAGGAAGAGGTCTCTCAGTGGAGGGGGTATTAGAAGTGAAGCCTTCCAAGGGTTGGTATTGTGAGCTGTGCTCTATCACTTGTTCATGAGTGGTCTAGAGTTAGGGATGAGCTGTGAGGTAATAAAGTTCCCCTACTACGTATTGTGGAAGGCGGTGAGACTATGTGATGACGATACAGTGAAGGGACAGGGACAGCTAGTGTGGCCTTAACTACCCCCCTTCACACAATTGTAATCACATTTGTTGTTGCTGTTATTTCATTTCATTTATGAATCGCTTCTTATTAAGTATCTTGAAGCAATTTCACAGTGCAGTAGAAGCATGTAGGAAACAAATTGCATGTATTGGAGCAGTTAAAACAATTGCATATATAAAAAACTATTTCATATCCAATACAGAGCAAAATACAGATAAAAATCTTCACTTAGAAGGCTTATTGAAAGAGGAAGGAGAATGCCCCAATAAGGGAGGGAGAGTCTGTCTGTCTGTCTGTCTGTCTGTCTGTCTATCTCTCTCTCTTGTTTTTGTGTGAGAGAGGGAGAGGGAGAGGGAGAGACGAGGTTGTTTTGGGCTTAGCTGCAAAATCTTCTCCCACCACAATCAGGAAGAAGACTATTTTTGCCTTAATAGCTAAATAGTGAAACCTCTGTTTGTCTCTATACAACTGAAAAGGGAAGAGATCCTGAATCCAACTTCACCAGTGTGAAGACTTTGCCAAAAGTTGCCTTGCTGTTCCATGTTGGAGAAAAGGGGGTTGGTTAGATTGCTGCTAACTTGTGTCTCAGCTGACATAGCCAATGATGCTGGTGCTTCAAACGCTGCACAGTTCATAACGTGGCCCTTCTTAGTATTTGCTGAGCAGGACCTCTAAGAACTGAGGAAATGATGTTCAGGGGTCAGAAATCTATGAGAAAATGGAGAGATAAACAAGACATTTTGAAGGAGAAAAGTTATGACTGCTCAGTAAATTGAAAATATAAGTATATAGAACAACCAGAAAAGTACCATGGATCAACAAATTTGTGACAGCAGGTATTAATTTGCTGTAATTTATTTTTTACAAAGAATGCAGGGCGTGGGATGGGACGTCCAGTGATCAGGAAATGTTTGAAATTTCTTTTTTCATTTCTTTTTCTGTTCTGTAAACGCTTTTGTTGAGTTCTGACGATGTATTTGACCTGGAAGCATAAAAATATTAAAAAAAAAAAGAACTGGGAAATGATTGTCAAAACTAGAGAAAATGGGGATAAACACAGACATGAAGAGAAGACTGTATGTATCAGAACACCAGAAATAATGGATCAAAACTTGTGACCGAGGGAGGAGGAATTGATACGCCACAAACGTGTGAGTGGTAGGAGAAGTAAAAGAAGGGGTTGCAGTAGTCTGCAAAGCATATGAAAGACATTTACAGTCCAAATGTTATCTGACTCAAGCGTTTTCGCTGTATAAATTTCCTATGAATTACTCGACTTTAAGACTCAAGGATTTTGCTTCACCCGCAATGGAGGACTTTTGTTTTTTCCCTTCTGTTCATAAATGCCTTCATGAATTCCAAAATAAAGCTCACAAAAGTGTCTGCGATTCAACCCGCAATGCAAAATTGTATGGCGAGGAAAGGACCTGGCGTTGTCCAAGTTAGGAGGGAGAGGTTCCATTCAGGGGGTGCACATTTGACCACATGGAATGCATTATGGGGCCTAATGTGGGAGGAGGAGAAGGCGGTTGGCACAGGGATTAAGGAATGAGAGCATTAAGCTGTGACGTTTGTAACGTTCTGTTTATGCAGGCGTAGGAGGCGGTGCCGCAGTCCTAGGGATGCTCTCATCTTTGATTCAATAGTGACCTCAGCTGCTCCTGCATGGTGCTGAGGAGACAGTGCTGCAGGGTATGACATGGATGACCCAGTAGGGGACATTCAAATCTTTGACATTTCTCTCAGTTCCTCACTGTGACTCTAAGGCAGGGGTGAGCAGAAGGTAGTACAGGCTCTTCTGGTAGATTTCTGGGTGATTTGAAGGTTTCTGACTCACCGTTGTTTAACAATAGTAACAATTTGTGTGTGGGAAGACTGTGTGTTTGTTTATGGTACTCAGAACAAATTTCTGGGCTCGGGCTTCTCTAGTCCTAAGTGTGCATGCTTTGTACCAGGCTCCAGTTGGTGGATCTGGGAGTTCTAGTCCCACAAGATTCTAGTCTACCCTGCACCCTCCTGGCTCCACATTGTGGCTCATCCTGAACGTTTTGGTGAAAAAAACCAAATACAGTTGGGTGCTTTTAGAGAAATGATTCTGGGCATCATAATGCTTATGGTATGGTATGTCCATATCCAAATATTTGCAAATCCACTCTTCAGCTTTGTAAAACCTTCTCTCCAACTGTGTTGGACAATGCAAACTTTTCATTTCTCATCTTTGTCTAGTGTTCCCATGTACTGTTAAGCTGTCCTTGCCTCCGTCTTGCTCATGAAACGTTGCACTGGACTTGGGGATAAATGATCTCAATATTTATTGTACATGGAACTTTGGGGATCCTGTATCTTAAGCAGCAACAGCAACGAAGTATTTAATTGTTACATGGGATACTTCCAGAAATATTTATGCTGATTTGACCTCTTTTTCTTGCAGTTGCCTGTCCTGTGTGAATGGATTCTTCCCTTGCCATTGGTGTAAATATCGTCATATTTGTACCCACAATGCCGCTGACTGTTCCTTTCTGGAAGGGCGTGTCAACATGTCTGAGGTAAGTTACCAGGACTGCCTTTGCAACTCTGTATTGTGGATCCTCTCGTTTCTCCCCCCATCCCTTTCTTCATAACAATGCTACGTACAAAAAGATCTGTACCATTTAAAAGCATCCGATCCAAGGCTCAGGTAGTACAAAACCACCCTGTTTTGTACTGTGGTAATTTGTATATGGGGCTTTGTTCTGGGCATCACTGTTCAAAAATGTGGAAAATGATTTAAGAGAGCCACAAGGGTAAGAGAGAATATAAAAGGCAGGTCATACGGGGAAAGTTGATTGCTTTTTTTGATTGTTTATTTACTTTCCATACCGTTTAATATATTAAAAGTATCTCCAAGTGACGTACAGAAAACTGAAGCAACAACAGACATTTTAAGCAAAATATTACAAATGCACAGTTACATGTTAAAACATCACATTAATACAAAGTTACTGATATATCTCAATCAGTATCAATTCATTTTCCTCCAGACATTCCTTCTCAGCCCCCTGGGTTCTCACCCAGGGTCCAGACAAACGCTCAGCTCACCCGCAAAAGTCTCACAATGAGAAAAGTTCCTGGAAACCATGACTGTCACCCTAGTTTCTCACTCTGCACTTGCTTTTTATGGGCAGGTATAAAGGTGGATGCTACTTCCTCAGCTATGTCTCATTCAGCTGCACTCTCGACACCCAGTTCCAGGTGCAGTAGGTTTGTTGTGTTTCCCAGAGGGTCCAGAGGAGGGGGGGGGAGAGGTATCTCGCTCCATTCACAGCTCTTTCTTCACCCTCTGTCCTCTCCTCCTTCTTCAGCTGCTTGAAGGACCTTGGTATGTTTAGCTATGGAACAAGATCCGAGAAAAAGCTTGGAGGTGTGAAAAAAAGTTAACAGGCTTCATTGGGGGAGAAAGAGAACAAATAATTGTTCATTCTGTTCACTTCTGTGAATTGTTCCGTCTGTGATAGTATAAGAAGTAATGGTTTAAAAGTATTTTGGCTAATCTTCAGGAAGACCTGCCTGGCTGAAAGAGAAATTCCACAGTGTAAGAAACTGTCTTGGAAACGTGGTGGAATTTTCTCCCTTTTGAAGTTGTAAAAGAAAGACTGGACAGGCATTTAGTGGAGCAAAAGAAGACAGACCTTAACCTACTCTCCATGTTAATCAAGCATCTTGACCCTTTATGGAAGCAAGTCCCATTACTTTCCAATGAACTACTACGTGTGCTTAGAATAGCATCATAAAACTTCCTTAAATCTGATACAGAGAACAGGTTCGCAAGTCATGTTGTGCCATTTTTTCTCATGGCTTGCATGAGCTGGAACGAACTTGGGCAAGCCTTGGGCTCACACGTCACATAACCTTACTCCTAGCACCAACTCTTTTTACAGTGGTGCCTCACAAGACGAAATTAATTCGTTCCGCGAGTTTTGTCGTCTTGCGATTTTTTTCGTCTTGCAAAGCACGGTGTCGGGAAAGTTTTGGAAAAGCTTCAAAAATCACCAAAGTCTTTAAAAACCTCAAAAAAGGCTACCACACCACGTTCTATGAGTTGCTCCTCGAAGTCAAGTCGCAACTGTATTAACGGTGTTAAGAAAAAGGAAACAAACTTGCAAGACGTTTCCGTCTTGTGAAGCAAGCCCATAGGGAAAATCGTCTTGCGAAGCAGCTCAAAAAACAAAAAACCCTTTCGTCTAGCGAGTTTTTTGTCTTGTGAGGCATTCGTCTTGCGAGGTACCACTGTACTTGCTACATGGTTGAGAGGAGAGCTTTCAGCAGTGTGGCTTTAGTTTCAGTTAATCTTGGTGCGCTGTTGCCTGCGAACCAAGAGTCATGGTTTATAACAAACTCTGGTTAGTTTAGCAAGCCAGCTTCACAATTCATGGTTTGAAGTTAGCTTGCTTTGAAACTGTTCAGAGTTTGTTATGAACCAGAATCCCTTGTTCACATGCAATGATGAGCAAAAATTCATTGAAAATGAAAGTACATTCGAACCTTGGTTCTTGAACCGTTTAGTTGACGAAGAAATCAGCTCCCGAACACTGAAAACCCGAAAGTAAATGTTCCAGTTTTCTAATGTGTTTTGGAAGCCGAATGTCTGATGTGGCTGTCAGCTATTGTTTCTGGGGTGCCTGCACCAATCGGAAGCTGCTCCTTAGTTTTCAAACGTTTTGGGAGTTGAATGGACTTCCGAAATGAATTAAGTTTGAGAACCAAGGTTCCACTGTAAATGCTGCCAGGGGCCTCCTGCTCTCCACATGAAAGGAGAAGGGGGAGAGTGTATGAGCCCAAGACTCATTCTAGCTGTAAACTATGGTTTGTCATAGTGGTGACATACTTGCAGTCCCTGGTCCAGATATGGCCCCTAAGGCCTCCCAAGACATTTTGCTTTCAGTGGCGGTAACAAAAATTAAAGGCATAATGAGAGCAATACAGGGCATGTAACTGCCAGTGGCTGGGCTTTGTAGGGATTACAAAGGGCTCTACAGTTTTCTAGGGTCTCTGCATTGAGCTGCTGCTGCTTTCTGCTGCAACAAATGCTTCTGGAGCGCTTGGAGATTTCTGTAAGTGCTTGGATGATATCACTGCTATGAGCATCACTGAGGACAGTGTTATGCAGAGGTTCTCAATGGTGCATTAGTGAGGAAGGTGCCGTTTTCCTCCTCATGACTCTCAGCCCAGGACCATGATGGGGAGGAAATTTGAACAATGGTCACCAGTGAGAGGGAGAGCTGCAACACAGTGAAGTGGGGGAGGTGTTGTCACCTCATGGAGAGGCTTTTAAGCTTCAAACCCAAAGGCTGATGTTCAGAGAAAGAGGAGAATTTCAGTTCAAAGGTAGTAGAACAGGGCCCCTACAGATGGTGCTTTATAAAGGGAATTGTAGACTATCAATTGTACTGAAGTGGTTGCCATTCCACCCTTCTGCTTATGCCTCAGGCAGGGGGAGCAATGACAATTAATTCATTAATGTTTAAAGGTGGTGCTGTGGGGGAGAATAATAATTGCTACAGACCATTAAAGTCAAGCCGTATTAGTTTTTGGTGACTGTAACAAACCATACCAGGGCAATGAATTAATTTCAATTAATGTTTTAAGCATTAATTCCAGTTAATCATATGCATTAATAAGATTTTCAAGCTGGCCTCAGTCATGTGCACTTTACACTTCAGCCACACCAACTTGGGCAAGTGGTCCCCAGAAGGTTTGCAGTGGGACGGCGAGGCCCTTGGACTGGAAACGTTAGCCAGGCTGTTCAGAAGATAGGGGCCTGGCTTGTGAGCCCTTGGTGTGGCGGGATGCTCTGGAAACTTCAGTGGAGAGAAATCTTTCCGCACCAAGAGGATTTTGCTTCTTCACCCTTTTTTGATTTACCCTGGTTGCACAGTCAGTCTGCAAGCCATTAAGAGAGAAGCCTGCGGGCCAGAATGTCTGTTTCAGATAGGTCACTGTTGCACTCACTGGGGTCCTTCCTTCCTCTTCCTGTCTTATCTTTATTAGTCTGTCATTTCAGCCCTCAGGCACATCTTTAACTCCTTCTCTGCTGCATTGATTGAGTGTTCCTCCAGTAAAGCTGAGTTATGATTGCGTGGCTATTCCCTCCCCCCCACAGGTGGAATAAATGAAGACAATGGACACAGAGTTTTAAGGTTAATGGGCGAAAATGGCCACAACTTTATTGATTACAGGAAAGAAAGGGTATTGGCTTTAGGCATTGGCCCCTAACCGACTATCCGGTCTAACCGGGAAGGGTTAAACGCCACAGGGGGAGCCACCCGAGATGCGTATCCCTAGGCGCTCCCCGAGGGGTTACCGCTCGGGGGCGCGCTTTAGGCCCTAGCCTCCGTAGGTTTCGGACGAGGCGTCGCCCCTCGGAGTCCTTTAACGAACTACCCTTCAAGCATTGGGGGAGGTGATGGCGTTCCTCCCCCCCAACCTCATCTGCATGACAATACCCCGTCCAATGCCTACCGCCACCGAGCCGAAAGCTGGCTCGCCGCCAATACCCTCAGACCTGTAACCAATCCCTGACGCCCTGAAAAATATCTGCCAACCAAATATCATTGCCAGCATCCGATAGATGCACGCCATCCCAGCGATAAAGCATTTCCTTGTCAAACCGTATGCATGGGTGCTGAATGACCCGACCGCCCCATGTGGCCACTCTGCGCGCCACTGTGCGCTCCACTATCCTCCTAGCTTTATTCACCGCCACAGGTTTCACTGCATCCCGCCAACATCGTCTTTCCAGCAAAGATGACCACATTATTGTAATGTTTTCATGGGATGCCCTCAACGATTCCAAGTCATTGATAATGCTCCACATCAAGTCCACCCCTTTCCTATACGCTAGGTCGTTCTCGCCCAGCTGGATGACCAAGGCACTGGGTGGGCCCTCGGCAGCGATTTTTTTTGGATACGACTGGGAAAAACTTTTCCCAGCGCATACCCCTCCTCGCGATCCATGACAGTTTGACCCAGCTGGGCAGCCGTAGCTCTTTTTCCCAGCCCCTTTGTTCAGCGCGCCGCTTTGCCCAATAAACGATGCTGTGGCCGAGGATCCACAGTCGAACCACACCAGTACCTGTAATGAGAGAATCGGAGAACCAGATCAGGAGGGGTGCCAGGGGGAAAGCTGAGGGGAATTTAGAAGGGCTTCCGGATGTAACCCCGGTATGCGTTAGATTTCCAGCGCCCCATGTCCATAATTCTTTCTGCCGGTAAACCCATATGGGCGGCGGTGGTCGCCGCCCCAATGCGAAAGGAGTGTGCAGCGTACTCCTCCGCGTCGTCTCCCAGGGGAAGAAAGGGGCGAGCCCAGGGCTGCCCCGACCTTAAGTGGCCTTACGAAGGCCCGCCCCTGCCGCCAGCCGATTGGCTGGCGCCACGGGGGATGCAAATTGGGGGAATCCCTGCTGCCTCCCGCGAGGCTGGCGCCAGCCTCGCGGGAGCGAGTGTGGGCGGGTCGTGATCCCGCAACCCCCCCTCCTCCTGACGCTCGGAAGGGGCATTGCGACAG